TAAGTAGTATGTCAGTATGTCTTTTGTTTTATGTTGATGTGTATCTTCAGTACATGTTAAGTAATGGGCAAACCCCTGTTGTAACTCTCTCTGCCAGCAGAGGACGACATTCGCCTCTCTCCCATCAGCCCCTTTACCACCACCACCCCCACCCCCCCTCCTTCTCCTCCAGTCAACCTCCTCTCTGTCCCCAGCGACGGCCCCTCCCATCAAAGCCATAACCTCTCCTAATCCCCCCACCCCTTGTTGCCCTGGAGACGGCTCAGACGAGCAGGTGATGCATTGACAGGGAGCAGATGGTTCCCTGTGGAGGTAAGCATGGCTGAACAATGCTTCCATATTCATCATAAAGTCTCGCTAACTCTCTGTCTCTCCCTCCTTCAACTGCGAGCACACACATAACTTCAAAGCTGAATGAATCATGCTTTCACTGACGCAGGCACACAGATATCGATGATTGAAGCAAGCTAACAATCCTGATGGCTCTGTCGGCGCGGCGGGGGCTCGTTCACGCCGAGCGAGGTGATAACGTCGTGACAGGTTATGAGACAGAACTTGTGATAAATAGGCGCCGCTCCTTTCAGAGGAAGCTGGTTTACAGTACCTCGGACGGGAGGCGAGAAAAGTAAAGACAAACAATAGGGGGGTTCCTTGCCTCGGCCTCCCTGCGCTTGTCTTCTGCAGGTGTTTTCGGGCTTTTCGCCGCAGTAACTCACTCCTCTAAAGAAGCTCCTTCTTTAGCCCCTGTCTCCCCTGGAGATAAAGTACAGACACCCCACTCTCCCTGTCTTTCTTTCAGCTAACTCCTGAATAATCCAGCAACAATACAGGGCTCTGAGGCGGTGTGCAGCGATTCGCCGCAGGCCTGACTTGTTTTTGGGGTGCAGCAGGGGTGGGGGAATGGCATTATGGAGATCAGCTAATGCATGTAAAACACTGCATCCATTTTTTTTTTTTGTGGAACAAGTGGTAAAGAAAAAGTGTGCGGCACAATAGAGGCTGTGGAGCGCTACGCTTAACCCACCACACCTGGAGCACACAACAGGGGGTGAGAGTGGCAGCCCACCTCTCTCTCTCTCTCTCTCTCTCTCTCTCTCTCTCTCCCTCCCCCCCACCCCAAACCCCTCTCACCCTGCCTGCCTCACCCATCATCACCAGCACCACAGCACCTATCAATACAGGCTGTAAGGAGCTTGGTTGGGCTGCAGGAGGGGGGGGCTGCCTGTATTCACGGCCTGACTATGATAAAGACGCACAGTGAGGAGCCATTCAAGAGCCCTGTGCCCATAATGGAGTCACTAATAGGTGCCTATTCAGCAAGGAAAGTGTTTTCTGGGGGGAGAAAAAAAAAAAAGTTTGGGGGGAAGCAACAATCACTTTGTCTGCTGCCTTGTGTATGTAAAATTTATGCAGCGCTCCACCCCTCCACCCTTTTCCAACTCTTTTTGCTGTCTTTTTTTTCTTTCTTTAAAGAGCGTCACCAGTGAATAGACTACATGCATAGTTTGGAGTCTTCCTTTCATCCTTACTTGAAAATAAATTGAATGGTGTGTTCTCGAGTGAGTCCAGTCCAGCGGCAGGGATCACAAAACAGGAATACACACTCTCTCTCTCTCTCTTTCTTTTTCACCTCCCTCTCCTCCATGAAACTGTTGGCCATATGCACAGGTGACCAACTCTTACATACATCTGTATTCTTTAGCACATCTGCAAAATGCCGTATGCATTGGTGCTTGGATTTAACATCGCACTGAGGTGGAAGTGCCATTAGTTTTTAAGTTTACTGGTATGTGTAGATAAAGGTACTGTGTAGAAATCTGAATGTAAAATTCAAAAGCAATGAATCAAAGTTAAAAGTTTATAGTGAAGAGTTAAGTTTAACCAACACAGTAACATTTAAGACAGTTTTTCTATTGCTACATAGCTAACGTTAGCATTAACAGCTGTTTACTTTACCAGTCTTGCAGAGATCTTCAGCCATCGTTGTGTTTACAATACAAGAGGTTATAATACATCCCCTGAGCTGCTACTTGTTCTGGTCAGACTGGATACTACAGTGACTCGGTATCGGAAAGTGACGGGCCACGGCAGGCGGGTTAGCATGCCGTCTTAGAAGCAAAACAAAAGGGTGGTTTTCCACCTCTGGTGATAGCTCTTGGTGAGTAAAGGAATGAAGTTTAATGCTGAAATCGCAATCGTTCTAGACTGGTAAATCAACAGTTGTTAATGCTAACGTTAGCTATATGTAGTGATAGCAAAGACTTAAAAATAGCTTCTTTAATTATAAACACTTCAGCCGTAAATATGCACAAGTAGCACTTCTAATTCAATCACAATAGGAGGCTACGGATCTGAAAAAACAAACAAACATCTCAACCTTTCATCTGTGTCACAGAAAAAACCTGGTGCAGGTTCAGCAGCTTTCACATTTCAGTCCATCCCTGGAGATTTCCCAACTTGGTCAGACTCTCAACGCTGTGAGAACCAGTTGCCTGGATGATATGTTTTTGTAAAAAAATTTTTTAGGCGTGTGCAGGTCTGTCATAAAATCTAGCAATACACCGCACCACAAATATCATAAATCGAGAAAAATCATTATTCGATGTAATGAAGTTTGATATGTAGGGGCCCAAAGATACAGCATGTGTGGCCCTTGGCATTACATCCATACAACTCTTAATAATAGTGAAAGTAAAGATTTATTACTTGTTACATGCTAATGTTGTTACATGCACATATACTGTAAGTACATTTTCAAACAAGTCAGTGTCTGTCAAACTATTAATTTTAATGTGCAAAGATTTAAAATACATCTCTGGCTGATGCTCAGGCCTGAACACTCCTATCGCCGATAGCAACTGTATTTGCTGCTGACCCCCTCCCTTGGTGCCGAGGCACCAGGGGAGCAGACCTCTTGGATGAGCTGACTAATCATGAAATGCTGGGACCATATTGAAAAGAGGGGACATGAACTGAGAAATGCTGGGACCATATTGTGCTGTGTGTCAAAGGGCTTAGCTGACAGATTGATGAGATGCGGAAATAGCGGAGGTAACTGGGGGGTGGGAGGGGAGAAGGGGGGGTGGGGGGTGGGGGGTCCCAGCATGGCATGGCAACCAGTAACTGGAGTCAGAGCAGGACTGCCTGCAGGCCTACCGGGCAGAGCCGGTGCAGGTCAACGCTCTTTGATTCTGGGTCCTGCAGCCGACAAAGGGCAGCACGCAGTGGGCAGGGCTGCTTTCCTTAGAACAGCATGAAAGCCCTTGTAATGGTATTTTTATGTGTTTTGTGAGAAGCTTTGTCAGCTTTGTGTGCTGATGTATGTGTTTATTTGTGTGTGTGTGTTTGTGCTTTTGCGGATGTGTACCATCCAAATGAACCTTTCTTGACTATTTTTTAATCTAATTGAGAAAAAAGCTTGAAATTAAAACAAAAAAAATTCATCTTTTAAAGTGCTTTAATCTTATTTTAACAGAAATATTCACTGTGTTAGCCAGGTGTTTTATTGTATTTTATTTAGTTGTAAGTTTCTACTTTTTTCTTCTTCTCTAATAGAAAGAGAAGATAAAAAAATTTAAGCCACGATAATCAATATTTCCATATTAAGAAATAATCATGATCAATCTACTTGTATGTGAAAGCTGCTGCTTATAGTGATGAAACCACAGAAAATTTTCAGCAGTTTTAGTGTTTTCAGCTCATTGTTTTGGTTTTCCAACCTACAACTTTACTGTTATGATTCACCGCTGTCATAGTGTGATTTTTTTTTTTTTTATGTTCAGCAGGCGCCGGAAAACCTCTAAAAAAAAAAAAAAAAAAATCTAGATATTTCCATTGGTTTTTATTGTACTGATTATCCAATGCTTTAAACAGACGTGTATTAAACATTTTGTCAAAGATACAAAGGGATTGAAACAAGGATCCACTGACTGACTCTAAAAAAAAATACTGCGATTTTCAACCATATACTTCCGCTCACACAATGCATTTTCTGGCAGTGTCTTAGCAACTGTTATTGTGGCATCTGGATTACCCAAAGTGCACTGCAGGGCCCCCGTAGAGTCGAACAGAGGGAGATCTCAGGCAGAGTGTGCTTCAGGAAGGGAGGAGGTCATGTCACAAGTTGTGTTGCTTTAGTCGGTGGATTTTCAGAATAATTTAATTAAAGAAGACGCTTTGTTTTTGCAAATTTTGCAGAAGACAAATGTCACAGGATTTAAAAAGAAAAAAAAGAAGAAATTGAAAGTAGTAGTTGTAGTAGAAGTGGGGCAGGGGTTGTGTGGGGGTGGCTGCCAAGTGTTTGGTCTGGTCACCATGGAAAACACTGACTGACTGCTCCTTGGTTAATGTTACACCAAGAGCATATTTACTAAGATTTTCCAGAACTACAAATCTGAGGATGAAGAACCTCAGAACCAAGACACACTCTAGATAATGAGCTTTGATGGCAGATACAGATAGAGGGCTGTTCAGAACATGCACACAGTAGTGAGGTCTGATTTGTGGAATTGATTGGGTCCATTGTTTCCACAGTATTTGCCACTATATGCCCTGTAATGTAATTAGGGCCAGGAGATTTATGCTGCTGTATAGCAGCCCAGAACCTGATCCATGTTGTGTCTGGAAGTCGGGCTGAAAAGCCTTCTCTCTGTCCAGCTGGTCCTGATTTCTGCTCTGGCCTCTGTCACTGTGTGGGGCTACAGTGCTGTTCACTCCTTAATTGAAAGCTTTGGTTTGTTGAAGGCTTTGTTTTCATGTTGCATCTGGAAGAAATATGGAAGTTGATGTTCATTATTTGCCTGAAAATTTGTAGCAAACTCAGATGGGAATCTTGTTCTGTGCTTTTGTGTTTGCCAAGGAATCGATGTGCATGAGAGACTTGCACCAGTTTAGCAGGATGGTAATTATTAACAGCCATAAGCTGCATTTTTTTTGCCTCCCACAGAGAGGCATTGCCCAGTTCCTCTACCCTTAAATCACTCGGCTACAAAGACTGAAGGTATACAGCAGAAAACCTGGAGACTTCAGGATTTTACTGGTGAAAATGAGTAAAATGAAAGACTAGAGCTCGTTGAATATGTCTGCTGTCGACAGAACAGGAGCACTGGAGCGTCATTGGGAAAACAGACGTTCCAGAAATCAGGATTTCAAGCGTCCTTTGAGACTTCTGGCTCGGCCCAGGCATCCCGTCGGCACGAGCACCTGGTCGCCTGACGGCTCCCGTTCTGCACAGCATGCGCACAGGGTGAGTCCATCCATGCCCACCCAGCTCTTCCTAAATCCACAGCTGATGGGGCCTACTGCCGCCACCGCCCACAACTCCAATATCCCAAATGAAAGACACGTCAAACGCTGCTGAATGAGCCCCATGTAGAGAACATGAGAGAGAAGATCCGTAAGACCCGGAGCATCTGTCCACCTCTCTGACACTAATGAATGTTAAGTAGGTTAGCTGCTGGTGTGTCACTGTCCCACAGGTCATTGTGACTGGTGGTGGCAGCGGGGCTGTGCTTTTGTCAGGGTGCGCCAACCCCCTGTGAGACGTCTAAAATGGCTGGGCCGCTTACTCCTACACACAATCCCAGCGCCAATAGTTGCCATATTGATCCTTCTTGCTTGCAGATTAAAGCATAAAAGGAGCTCTGTCCTATCAGCAGGGATCCCCACTGACTCCCAGAGCTCATTTCAGGGTCACAGAGTCCTTGCAGCCCCCTGACCCGGACCCCAATATGAACACACACAAACACCGGTGCAAGGCCGGACAGAAACCTTTCCAGGGATGAACTCCATTAAACAGGATTGGTCGGATGCTCACATTCATGGCTCATTATAGCTGACCCCGGGCTTTCTCTTTCTCAATCTGGGTGCTCTCCTATTCTGTGTCTGGCTCTAACCTGGCCAAAGACATGCTGAGGTGGTCACCCTCGCCTTTTGTTTGCCATTGATAGCTCGGCCGTTTGCTTGATTGTCTTCTGAACTGGATCTCCTCATCCGTTGTGTTGCGCTGCATTGCCGAGTTCCTGTGGTGTGCTTTTAAAGTTTTGTCTCCGCTTTGGGAACTGTGTCGCTCTTTTGTCTCAATCTTAGTTGGTTTATAGACGAATCCGGTGGCTGGTCAAGTGGTGCTGCCACTGCTGTGGTGGCAGAGTCCAACAGAACACATTAACATTTGGGTTATCGTGGTCGGCTGTCGTCCCCCCCCCCTCCAAAAGTTCAGGATAGTCTTTGTGAATGTGGGAGTTAAACATTCTCGTTTTTAAAAATTACCGATGATATAGACTTGGGGAAAAAAAACATCACTATGTACTAAATGACAAGGTGACAGTGTGAAAAGGGGGGACGCTTGTAGTGATGACTCCGCAGAATTATTATCTCACTTTGCAGCTCATCTCAGCTATACAGAGGTTTCGATGCCCTCATAGCGCCACTTTTAACTGCAGGAAGTTGCTGGTTTCAGTAAAAACACAGATAATTATGTGCAGAATTACCGACTACTTAGAGACTAGCTGGTGAACATAGTTTAGCATTTAGCTAGAGAGCCAGATATTTCTCTCAGGACTTGGTAGAGACCAGAAAAAACACAGAGCGAATCCTGGACTAAACATTCATCAGGTGGTTAGAAACTCCACTCCACACGTGTGGCAATGTTTCTCTGTAACTGCTTGGTGTGTAATATATTATGTACTACTATATAAAGTAGAGGCAGCTTGTTTACTTCTGTGTGTTACCCGGATTGATGTGCATGATGTGTGTTGCGTCCTTGGTGCTGACCTCACCAGGATGGAGCTCTGATCTCCGGCTCCCTGCTCGATGCCTGCTCCCTCAATTAAACGTTGATTAAATGCCTTTTAATGTGCCCTGACTCACAGACAGGGTGTAATCAGGTGAAACAGAATTAATAAAGCATCCAGTGTCGTGCTCAGGAGAGAGGGAAGAGCTCCCCTGAGAAAGACAGACAGATGGCGGCAGGAATCACCAGAGAGAGGAGAAAGCAGAATGGGAGAGGGGATAAAGCAAAGACCAGCCACCACTTTGGTGATTAGCTCCAAATTGGTAATTTGATCCAGCCCCTCCCACCTACTCTTTATTGATAAGAAAGGCCATATTTGACCATATTTCCCCCTGCTGGCTCAGACCAGCAGCACAGCACTTCCTGTCCTCTTGGGTCCCGCCAGCCCACGCCGTTCTGCGCTCAATGGATCTGACAGGAAGTACCCTGAGGTGGAGTTTGCGTGGAAAAGGGGGGACACACGCTGTCGACACATGCACACTGGAAAGCCCATCTGCCAGGAATCTGCCTAATCTCATCATCTGAATTGAACAAGGAAAAGAGGAGCAGCAATCACTTTAGACAAACCCTCTATGGGATTATGTGTTGTATTTGTGATGATGGGTCAAACCATGACATCAAAGGCAGAGCGAGGCCCATTGACTGATGCAATTTTGTTTGAGCTAATGGAGCAGCAGCTTTATTATTGGCCTGGCTTTTTGTTGTATATTCATGTGTCATCAAACTAACACAATCATACCGTATCTGTTGAGATTGAAAGTTGAAAGTCTTGACATTGGAAACAGAAGTTGAAACATCTGGATCTTCATCAGCAAATGGGGTTTTTCCCAGTTGTAATTGCAGATGTTCAAATTTCCATTTGTTATGAGCACGCTAAGGACTTTTCTTCTATGTGGGCGGAAAAACTGAGACTGAAAGTTCACTTTTGATCTTGGAAACAGTAGTTTGTAGAGATGTGCCATATTTAATCTTACATGTTCAATTTTACATGAGCATTTTTTTTTTAACTTCTCGGAAAAATGCTGCAACAAACAAGAACTCAGCATCATACAATAAAGCAAACCCCTATATGCTGAGGAAGATGGTGTGATGAGATAGCTCCAGTAAGTAGACCTAAAATAAACCTTTTGATAAAATTGTTTTGTCAAATACAATAGCTAGTTTCACAATGTGTAATTGACAGTTTGCTTAGGCCTGTAATCACAGTGCTGTTATGGTTACTGTTACATCTCTCAAGCTTTCTGTTCTCACATGGCACGTATGCAGTTGTCATTTATAACGGCAGCAGATCAAAGACACAATGTCGTTGTTGATTTCGGAAAGAGGTGGGCAAAAGCAGTCCTCTCATCTCTAGCTGGCAGCCATCAACTTTGTTGGCTGAAGTGATGATTACAGGTGGCAGATTTTTATAATTTCACTCTTTAGCTGCTTAGCTTACATACTTGGACAAGCAAGACAGAGGTTAGATTTATACTTATATTATTATTATTATTGTATCATTGGTTTCATTTTAAAGAGTAAAAGAGAAAATATCTATCTTGTCTAAGGAGTGTGATAGTTGCCAGTGTAGAGTTGCAGTTCACAATAGTGAAAATATAATACTTAAAATACTTTTTTTTTTAAATTAAAAATTTAAAAGAAAAATTTCCTTCATTCCCTTTCATTTGAATTTTGCCCTTTTTTCTTTTGCCTTATTTTCTGTTTCACTTCACATAATTTCTCTACTTTGTTTCCACAGGCCGACCCAACCCCCAGCCACTTCATCCTCTACTGTCTGAAAATGTACTTGATTTCACATTCAGCGTATAATTAGTAACAACAAGGTCACTGGGCCACAAGCACCCATGATTTGCAGGGAAATTGGTTGCTGTCCCCTGACGGTTCATTATTGGGCTGCAATTAAGTCTTCTATTAAGGATGGAGAGCTTGTGAGGTTTTTCCGCCATAATGTGCATAATCATACGTGATGTGCTTTGTTAAATACAACAGGTACGGCCTAAACGCAGCCAGCAGACAAAGGCGGTGAGATGGCCAGACCTGACGCTGGCCTCTAGCCTCTCATAGTGGCACTGAATGGGTTTGAGAGTCTGGCACAAGCTGGCAAAAAGCTTCACACCAGTGCACTCCAAAGGAAAGGGAAACACACACACACACACACACACGTATACACACATCAAGCTCCATTGTCCTCTCACCCTGCGAGCCCATTTTGCCCCCTGTCACCCACTCTGGTCTGGAGGTTACAGCCCATGAATGAAGGGTGAGTCCTGGGAGGATCTGCTCTCTTGCTCCCTGGAGTGGACGGGCTCTCGAGCTGACTCGGTGCTTCTGGGAGCTGCCAGGAGCCGCAAAGAGAGATGGATGAGCTGCTGTGCTGACTGCTGTCTACCGGCCGGTGAAGTGTCTCCATTGATTGATGAGTTAACACAGCGGACCCCCCCCACCCCCCTCCCCTGCTCCACGGGTCAAACTGATGCACCCTGACCGTAGGACCACCACACTCCTGAGGAAGCTACATGTTAAGAAGAAAAGGGGGAAGCGATAAGGAACAGACGTGTGTGTTCACTGAGCAGATGTTGGAAAGTGGCTGCGTGGGAGAGCACACTCCATCATCGAGTCCTCGGCCTCGGCTGCAGGAGCTCAAACCACTGGAGGTGTTTCACAGCAGCTCAGTAATCAAGACAGAGGGGTTATTAATGCACTGGTGGGGGTTTAAATGTCTCTGGAGAGCCCTCTCACTGTGTGGCTTTATGTTTGTTGTGCCAGGATTCAGTCATTGTTCCCAGCCTGGCGGCCCACGGAGCAGGAGATTGAGCTACTGAAAGCAGTTCATCTATGAACTCTTTTGACTGATCAATCTCAATCTGGCTCCGATAGATCTGTTTTTAAATTCCCTTCTGTAATCAATAACTTTTTTTTTTTTATATATACTTATTCGGCTTCTTTTCTGTTTCTTGCAGAGACCCGTTTATGTGTCTTTTGTCAACAAGGCCATCTTGTGGGATAGAGGACTCTGCCACTTCAGCGTGAGTGCTCAAATTAATTCAACAACATTTTCCTTTTTTTTATTCTCATCTTAAATCTCACTAAACATTTTTCTGTGAGGTTTGTTTGTACGAGTTCTCCCAAACACGAACGACCAAACTCTCTGGACTGAATTAAACCTTTTGTTTTGACCTGATACGCATCGCCTGTTCATGTGTAGGTGGTTTGATATAATGTTGGATGTTTTCCATGTCATGGATCATAAAGGAGAGGATACCTCCCGTGACAGGTGACGACCCACTGTCAGGTGTTATAACAGAGGATGTTCACCTGCATAAAGATCCTGAGCCTGTTGTTTTTACATAGATTTATATTATTTAATGTTTTTTATTTTAGTTTAGTAGTAACATATTTAAAATCCAGATTCATAAATCTTTATTATTGCTACGTCAAACAAGTGTGTTCCCCGTGACTTATAACAGATCTATATCTCTTATGATTTGACTTTGTACCCAAGAGAAACATCTAAAGACGAGAAAACTGATGAATGATACAAGTTTTCTTAAATCACTCGTAGGAACCCCTTAAGAACAAATCTGTTTGTACTAATGATTTTTGCACGAGGCCCATCACATTTAGTTTTATGGATTGATCCGTGCAAACTCCCAGCGCAGTCATAGGGTTGCAGCAAGTCTGTCACATATATTTACAATTACTGATTAATCACTGATAACACTTTATTTTAAACACCCCCCTGTTTAGCATTTATAAACAGGTTATAAACATTTCATTAATGATTAATATATGACACTATAATGTAGCTGTAGGCAGCTTGTGTTTATCAGTTATTGGTTAACAACTAAAACGCCAGCTGCGGGCACAATAACCGATAAACAAACAATGAATGACAATATAGTAACACACAGTTGTAATAACATAAAACAAAAGTCGTTAATAAATGTATGTAAACAAATAAATAAATGTGAACAAATGTAAATAAATACTGTACATTATGAAGAGTTAAAATGTCCCTACAGCTGCTTCACAGATAAGTCGTTAGTAGATGTTTATATACAGTTCATAAAGGTTTAATAAGGGGAGATAAAGTCAAACTAATCAATTAGAAATATCGGCCCATGTTTGTTGATAAATGACACGAATGATTCATCTGATATTAAACTTATGTTTAAAGTTCAAATTCAATAAAACTTTTCAAAAGTTAAACAAAATCCCAATATTGTTGCCTAGTGAAAATAAAGAGACACACACACACACACACACACACACACACACACACACACACTCCTTTCTCTCTCCTCCAACACTCACAAGTCTCCACCTCTCCCCTTTGCTCAAAAGAGTCTGGGAGTGGATGTGCCACAATTAACAGTGGGGTTGCCATGGGGACAGCAGAGTTGTGTGGGCTGGCTTCCTGTCTTGGTCTCTGGTTAAACAAACAAGTAAAGTCGGCAGACAAAGACGCTCGCCGGTCCTTACAGCCTCATTTACATCCTCGACTGCCTTCAGCACTTCTGCATTCAGCGAGTTCATCAGGGCCTGGCATCGCCCTCTGCCACCCTCCGTTTCTGCTGCGCTCCCGCTATATCTAATAAATCACAGGGCGGCATTGTGATGGTAAAACTGCCCCCGTCATACGGTGACGCTGCTTTTACAACGAGGGTTTTCCCCCCTGTCTAAACAAACAGACAGGCGGGCGACAAGAGGCTGTTGACCCAGCAGTCTGCTTTATATAGGCAGCAAAGCTCCCGCTCCTGTCACCTGGGACACGAGCTGCTGTGGGACGGTGCAGGACGAGAGCGCACAGGTGCCCAAACAAGGCGGCGGCGCCCGCAGGGGGAAGACGTCTTTATTTACCTGTTTACCCCTTTTGCATTTCGTGGACAGCTTTAGTTTCAAGTTATTTTGCATTCAAGATATTAGTATATGGATAGTTTTTTTTTTTTTATAAGATATAACACAATCGTATATGAAGTAGGTTAAATTAACTTTACCAGTGTTAACATTAAAATGCTGTTTTACACATTAATGCATCAGTAATAATCCAATAATATAATAAATGATAACTTTATCAATGATTTACTGATACTTCATCGATCAGTTTAAGCCATTAAGAAGAATAACATTTGGTTTTGAAAATTGGATCCTTTAATTGGATTGTTTTCACCACTTATCTGGACCGAAATCATTTATCAACAACTAATTGGCATCAACCACTGAACGACTTGAAGGATTAAAACATGTTTGACTTGATGGGTTATTAGAAAACAGGAAATCCATGAGCATTGATTAATGGATTACCAAGTTTTTAACGGCAATACTGCAAAACAGGAAGGATCAACATTTGCCAAAGGAGATTTTCAAACCTAGGCGGCCTAAAGGTTTATAACTGATCTGTAAAGCATCATTAAATCATTTATTGAACATTAATAAAGCCATCAGTTGTGACTTATAAACACCTTGTAAAGGGTGGTAACAGTACGAAGGAACACGACTTTAATTTGTGTTTTTACACTTTAGCGTTGCTACTTTTACTCAAATAAAGTTCTTCCTCCAACACTGTAAGTAATGCTGTATCAGCCGTCATGCTGTACTTTGCTGCGTTGGGTTGTGTTGTTTCAGGATGTGGGGGCTTGGGATGAGGGGTGTGGGCGGAGTCGATAGGCCCTCTGGGGCTGCGTGGGCCCGTAAAGCGGGGTCATTGTCTCACCATCGAAAGTAGAAAGTTGCTCTGAATGCTAAGCTGCATCTGAGCCTGGCTTCTGACACGAGCTGATAATCAGATTTACTCCCCTGAATCCGCCGGACTCCACAATGCGCCCCACTGTCGTCGTCCCCCGCTTTGCCTCTCGCCGGCCCCCTTCGCCAGTATCCCGACCCTTCATCCACCCCTCCCTCCTCCCCCACAGCAAAGCTAATTACACCCCGCAGAAACACAAATCTCCATGATTTAAAAAGTCACTTTTTTTTTCTGGGGTTTAACCTTGTTAGGGCCTAAGCCTGGCTTTCTTGTGTATCAGCTCTGTGAAGAATTCTCTGTTCCTGCAGACACTGGGACATAGACACACTTCTGTCTTTGCTCGTAGTCGTCCGCCTGTCAGAGGGTTCACTCGGAGGCAGTGTAATTAAGTGTGTGTGTGTGTGTGTGTGTGCATGTGTGCCTGTATCGCTGCTCATGTATGCTTGTGTGCATATGTGTGTGTGTGTGTGTGTGTGTGTGTGTTTAGAGGTGAGGGGGGGTGAAGGAGCACACGCAAGTCTGTCCTCTGCAGGCCATCTGGGACTCTGACTAACTAATAGACTTCCTACATTCATTGAGCAGTGCTACTTGTACATCTCAATCAGGGAGCTGTTGACCACAAACAGGCCCATAATGACATTAGCCAGTTCTGGCTGTGTGAGGACAGCGTGTGGGTTGCCTGACGCCAGGAGGTCAGCCTGTTTCCTGGGGGCCTGCAAGGGCCCGAAGGAGCCCACACGAGTGTCATGGGTGTCTACAGAAACGACAGTATTACCTCCTGTCACTGCTGGACATGTCCCGCTCGTTGACAGGTTACAGCAACATTAACTCCTTTTCCAGTCTCGAGCGATGCAGCAAACCAACTGTACTTTTGACTTCAGTCGTTGTGAATATGAATTTGAAGCTGGATTCTCCAGAAACAATATCCACCCTCTATTATTAGATTCATTTGTAGTAGTATAACCATTGCATTTCCTGTTCAGATGACCTTCGGGACGAGCATGAAAAGATGCATACATTAATACCATCGAATCAGTGAAGCTGGGTTGGGACTCAATTAGAGGAGAGCTTAAAATATTCAAACATAGAGTAACGTGTGATAAAAATACGACAACAAGCTAAAGAAACATGGTAAAATCACAGTATCAAGAGACAATCTCATTTCATTACATTATTTCTGTTGTGTATGATGACACTGTACTCTCTCAAAGTCATGTCTAAAATCTGGGAACACAGCATCATTACAATGACAAAGTCAAACAGGAAGAAGTCGCAGCTTCAACCTGATTAACAACTTTTTTTTGGAGGTAAAACTGAAAGTGAGCTCACCCCGAAATGTCGGCAGTGTGCGAACAGCTACGGCACATACGCTAAAGTAGTTTTTTGCCCCATCAGTCTTCTTTTTTTTAGCAAGATTCAGGTTGTCATGTTCTCAGATCTTACTATTATATGGCCACAACGTAGAAAATAAGACCCAAATTTAACAAGATCCAACCAGATACGAGCTTGGAGAAGATGAACTTTCAGGTAACACTTCACTGTAGTCACTACTTAGCATTCATAAGCAGTATGTAAACCTTTACTGGTTCAATGCAGACAGTGTAAACGGCTCTTTAGGGCTCGATCTTGCACAGAGAACTCATCAGCGTGACCGTGTGCGATAAGAAACATCAATGTGTGTGTTTAAAGGACACGCGGCTTTGTCCTGTACGCGATGTACGATTGCATTCGCATGTATGGATGCATTAAAAGAGCCTCTGCGTGGGTTGTAATGGCGCAGACCTACGTGAAACCGTGCGTGCTCAGACCCGTTCTGCAGAAGGTCACGAGTTTGATAACAGCAGCTGAGTCTAGCCTCACAAAGCCCTCCTCAGCCCTTTGACGGGCCTGAGCGACAGGTAATGGGGAGGCCGTAGGGGAGGAAGAGGAGCGTGGAGGAGAAAGCCCCCCCCTCCCCACCCCAACACCGGCTCTTGTTCTGCCGTTTCTACCTCACTTCTCCCTCTTTACATCAGAAGAATGCAAATCTTTAAAGCCTCCAGATCTGAGAGGAGGGAATCAGTGGAGATGGTGCAGGGATTTAAAAGCTGATCCTCCCTGTGTGAGTCACAGACAGTGACCCCACCTTCCTCCTCCATCTCCACCTCCTCCGCCCCCCCCCCCCCCCCCCCCCCCCCCCCTTCCTCACTCNCCCTTTTCACTCTCTGTCTGAAGGTCTCTTGGTTCATCATTGTAGTCAGACAGATGTTGTATTTCTGCGTTTTCTGTTTGTTTTGATTGTGTGTTAAAAGGGGTGAGGAGCTGAACTTCAGATGCGGCTTAAATCCAAGCCAAATAAAAGCCCCGCGTCCTGCAGGCCGTTTATTACAAGTGTTTGCTCTCTAAAGGCCAGAGACGGACTGAATGAGTCACTGGTTTTTCACTGGCTGGCCTCCTGCAGGCGGTCGTCCGTCTCTCCACATTTTCAATATTGACCGTCCCGCCTGCTTTTACCTGCCGTGTCCCGACAGTGTACTCTGGAGAGTTTTATCACCCTTCAGATCATGTTCTGCCTCCTTCCTTTCAAGCGGGCGGCAGGTTGTGGGTGGAAGAACACAAAGCTGGAGTCACTTTGTGTGCCGAGGAGGAGATGTGTGATCTGCTTTGTCAACACAAGGGGGCAGCGGTGCTACCGTGCATCATTTGAAATCGCCCTCTATAAACAGTGTAGGCCACAGCAGGGTTTTTCATTCAGGCTTTTATTTTGGCGGTGGCATGGCACACACTTGTTTTCCACAGTGACTTTTGTCTTGTGTGTTGATTAAATGTCAATCACCACAGACTGTTGAAAGGTTAGATGGGAGAAAAACGTCTGTCTTTATACAAACATGTACTTTATTTAAATTTTTTTTTTTATTTTATTTTAAGTTCCTTTTTATTTTATTTAGTCAACTTTCTTTCATCTGTTAGTTACAGGACTTTTGATACAGAACATCTTCTTTCTTTTTTTTTTTTTTAATTTTTTGTTTTGTTATTATTATTATTATAATTTAATATTTAATACATTTTAGTTTCATTTGTAATAGGATATTTTTATTGAATCTTTTTAAATTGTCAGATCTATATTGTATAAATAATAAATTTAAATGTACTTGTTGTTTTGTTTTTCATTATTTATTATTTTAATGTACTTATTTACTCATTGTATTGTTATTTTCTTATTTATTTGTTATTTTACTTATTCTTAATAGTTTTTATTTAGATATTTATTTATTATAGTTCTACTCAAATCTGTCTTTTTTGATCAATATTTATATACTTTTAATTGTAATTTACTTATTTTCCTTTAATTAATTAATTAATTAATTATTCATTTAGTTATTGTAATCCTTGTTTATTTCATTAGTTTTTCCTCTTTATTAGATTTCTATTATTTATTCATTTATTTTATAACTATTTATTTGCTGTATCTGTTTTTATTTATTTAAAACGATTACAAGCATTTGTTATAGAAAAGTGAAAATATTATTTGCCTCATACTAAAGTTTTTTTCTTCTCTCTCAGGCCCAGGCTCGTCCAGTTTGTCGTCCCTTGCTGTGTCCGCGGTTCCTGTCTCATATGAAAGCTCGTCCTGAAGACTTCAGACCTCCTTGTTTCCTGAGCACCAAGTCCAGAGCGCAGCCTCCTCCCCAGGGGAAGACGCTGCATACACACGTCCTCGCCGCCCCAAAGACCCAAGTGCCGGAGGGTGAGGCTTATCAACAAAACACCTGGTGCTTTCACACCACCAGGAGGAGGGCACTGACTCCTTTGACTCCGCAGTCCTGCTCATTAACAATTTTTCTCGCCTTTTCTTCTTCTCCTGGAGCAGTGGAGGTACGGGCCACCAAGCTCGTCGTTAGCTCTTAATCTCCCTCTGTGGTTGTGTTTGGTTAAGTGCAAATCTTGGCCGTCCTCTCTGGCAAGGAAGTGCCCACAGCGCCGCCCTCCTGGTGGTCCTCTGCTGGGAGTGAAAGGCCCGGGGCCGGGAGACCTGCCGCTCCTTTCAGAGCCCAGCCTCTGATGTGAAGGCATTTCCCCCAGCACACACCTCAGCTCCCCAGCAGGGCGCTGCTTTCAGCGTGCTGGGGTGTGTGTGTGTGTGTGTATAACTGAGGAGGGGGGTATTTCTCAGCACTGGGGTCTAATACTAATTATTCTACCATATGGTGGTCGGCTCCCTCACAATCGCCCTTAACCCTGCTCCCTGAAGAAACGTGCTGCGCCCAACGCCGTGGCTTTGCGCTCTGACACATGTCATTCATATGCACATCAGCACACACACCAATACACACATGCACCAGTTCACGTACACTTGTGTGTGTGTGTGTGTGTGTGTGTGTAACAGATGGGAATGGCAGGGCATTGTAAGAGGAGGCAGTGCAGAAATGTGCTCTCCAGTGTGTTCTCTTTATCCCCCTGTGCTGACTCCTCTCGGCGGCAGACCCCCACGAAACAAGAGCAGATTGTCTGACACCCTTCACCCCTCCTCCCTCCCTCCCTCCCTCAAAAAAAAAATAGGAGGAGAGAGAAAGGAAGGGGTGTGAAACGGCAAAGAGGGAAGAATGGAGAAGGCGAGAGGGAAATGGGCGGCGCTGGATGGAGTTGATGCTTGAGGAAGAGAATCTCAGNTCCCTCCCTCCCTCCCTCCCTCCCTCACGCACACACACACACACACACACACAAACACACTCTCACTGTGGTCAACAAAAAAAAAATAGGAGGAGAGAGAAAGGAAGGGGTGTGAAACGGCAAAGAGGGAAGAATGGAGAAGGCGAGAGGGAAATGGGCGGCGCTGGATGGAGTTGATGCTTGAGGAAGAGAATCTCAGAGGGATGAAAGGAGGTGTTCGTAGTCAGGAACAGGAGCTGGAGCAGGGGAGGTGAAGAAGGGAAGATAGAGGGATAAAACAGTGTGTGGGCATTTTTATGCATTTTCTGACAGAAAAGACAAAAAACAATCTTGAGCTCCAGCTCCTCAGATGTTTTATATCTTTTCAAACTGAGAGCAATCATGAGAGATCTGGGAACTTGGTTATTTTTCTACTATTTTCCATCATTTTATAGACTAAATAATCAATCAGTTAACTGGAATATAAGATAGATGCTTCTGGCCTTCTGTTTTATTACTGTAACTAGGCAACCGAGGCTTAAAGAGTACGCATCTTCACTTGTATGAGCAGATTTAAGGTTTCTCACAGAACCGACCCAATAATAATCTATTTGTAATTCACTTACATGTAATTTGTTTCGTCTGTCATATGAACATTTTACCCATGAATTCAACTGGAAAAAAAACAACCAATCTGGCAACGCGGCCGCTGGCGTTCCTCGAGCACTTGCTGAACGTGTTCACAGGACACCTGTGGCTGACATCATGTCATAATAAACGCGGTGTGGATACGTGCTCCGCTGCCCTCAGCTCAGAGTTGGGAAACAGGCAGCTGCTCCAGTGGGGCGATTTCTCGCTGCCTTTGTTGGCGGCTCGTCCCACCCAGCAGGGAAACAAGTGTGTGCTCCAGGACTGAGGGAACCAAAGTTGTCACGAGCAGGCTTGACCGTTCAGAAGCCATGCCCACATTTAAAGTCACGGAAAAGCACCTTGAATGAAAGACTCAAGGAAAATGTTTTGTTTTTGTCTGTTGTTTTGTTGTTGAAGGATCCGTCCGTCTCAGTCCAGACAGGAGAAGAAGAAGTGCTGTGCAGAACGAGAGACGGCGCTCTGCTGTTGTTGTTCCATGTCCTCCTGTCCCCGCCGCCCCACCGCCATCCACCATCAATCCAACACCCCCTCACCACAACACCCTGCCCCTCCACTCTGGAAGAAAAGAAAGCAACCCGAGCACTGTGCCAGCGTCTCCCTCCCTCTCTCATCCCGCTCCAGAGGTGGAAGATGAATCTCAGGAGAGGGAGGAAGCAGCACGAGCTGCTGCGGCGTCCGTCATCACGGAGCCGCACCGGGAGCTGCTGCACCCCGGGGCCGCTGGGTCAGAGCACCCGGCGTCACCGACCTCCCTCTCCCAGGGGTCGCTCTCAGATTTAAGTCGTCCACCTTCCAGTTTATTCAGCCGGAGCACCGACCTCACCAGCGGCAGGAGCAGCGTCCTGTCCGGTAAAACCTCTACAGTGACGGTGGAATTAGCATCAATGGATCATTTTAATCATTGATTATATTTTTAATAATTAATGAATGTAAAAAAGGAAAAAATGCCCTTCACAATTTCATTTATGATGATGTGCAGAAACATCCCTACATCTTAGACTCAACACAAACTGCAGAACACGTGATAAGTGAAAAGCTTCTTTTAGTTTTCACTCAGTAACATGCAGATGTTTCAGCTTCCACCTTAAAAGCACAGTTGAGAAGAAGTAGTTGAGAAACACATACAGTTATATTTCAGCTGTCGGGACAAAAAAGATTCTTCATCAGTATTAATTGAGAGTAATTAAGACTTTAACAGTCAATAACTCAATTATCTGCTGCAACAGGTGGGTGTGGTTTGATCAGATTTGACTGACAGACTTCCTTCTGTGTTTTTGCAGCAGATATCAGGGACTGGGACTCAGAGGGAGGTGGTTGTTTCCGCCCCCCCCAGCCTTCTCCAGTGGTGCAGTTACCTCCAGCTTCTCACCCTCCAGCTGGATCCAACCCTCACCAATCCCCAACGATCACCAGCGCCAACCCTCCTCTCTACGAGCCGCTCTTCGGCCGAACCAAACCCCTCCCGTCTCGCTCGGCTTCAGGCCTCCACCCTGATTCAGATAAACCTCTGAGCAGAAGCACAAAAACATCAGAGCATCTGCACCCAGGTGCGGTGGTAGATCCTGGTCTCGACCCCTCCTTGGACTCTGATCATGGCCGTGTTACACCGGCTTTCCCCTCAGCCACTTGGTCTTCCTGCCCAAGTCCCCAGAGGACCACTCCCCGCTCAGGAGCAAAGCTGACCCCTTCCCCTGCAGCGAGCGGGCTGGAGAGTCATCGCTGGCCCGTCCTGCCGCCCATCTCCCCCGTCAGAGGTGAGAAATGAGCTCTGCCAGCCACACATGGACCGTTCGCACCCCCCACCCCGCCTGGCGCTGTGCTCCTGCCCACGTTCTTACACCCTGATTGTCCTGAACATGGTTGGACATCCACCCGTAAACAAAGAGCCCGGGGCCAGACACAGTGAAATCAAAGCCTGCTTCTATAGTGAGGCGTTCAGATGCTCCTGCCCCCGTCCACACACTGTGAAAGCGTTGCTGTCAGCCTGTTTTTTCTCCCCCCGCCTCCTCCCACCACGTAATAAATAACGCAGAAAGCTTTTCTTTTTCCTCTAAATCAGCAATAGAAAGGAGGGCTTTTGATGAAAAGCTGGTACCGTTTGATTCCTTGTTTAAAGGCATGAGGGCCCCAACAATAGAAGGCGAGGTCCCTACCTCGTGTGCCGTGCCTCTCAGGCCCCGGCTCCCCCGTGCCTTCGCTATTCTCTGGACTCTGAGAGGGAGACGTGTAGCCGATGGTCATAAATCCACACTGACCACCGCTCGCTGACGGCAGAACACTGAGGAGGACCGCCACAATAGAATACCTCCGCGGCTTTCCTGCGGCCACTAATTTACCGTTCCCAATGGGGATAAAGGACGGGGGCCACTGACATCTGACTCCTCCGAGAACTTTATGAAAGAAAGCAAACAATGTGGAAATTGTGTAGGGATTTTCTCTTTTCTATCAGAGACATCTACTGTTCTCTGTGTGGTGCTGTCCTGCAGGGGGGCCCATGCTGTATCGGAGCACGCTGTTCTCTTCATGGCAGACACAGAGCGAGTGTCACTGGTTCATTTATTTCACCGCAGATGGAGGCGATTCGAGCTCAATGCGGCCTCAATGCTGCGGCGTGTAAAGCTTAAAGGATAAGTCTGGGTTTATTACAGCTCCGGTCTTATTTTTTGGAGTCGCGGCCGTCATCTCAAACAGTTTTGATAACACTGTTCTCAGCGAAGTAACTGCTGACACAGCGGCGTCGCTACGGCAAGATGCGCACTTTATTTGAAGGTGTTTGCACCAAAAATGTTTTACTTGAGCTCGGTCACGCAGCCGTACGCCCTTCCTCATCTGGCACTGTCAGACAATCTCAGTCCAGACTCTCCTGCTCTGTGGTTCCCTGATGGGGAAACAAGTTACCGAAAGGCAATCAGGAGAAGAGGCAAGAATCTCTTGAAGCCTCATCCCATCCAAGAGCTGCCCCTCTCCTAACACCCTCGCGCCACGTTCAGCTCAAACGTGAAGGGTTGTCCGGTTTAACCTTGGACCCAGCTGTCGTGGCAGCATCGTTCAGCGGTGCACTGGGTCACAGTCGTAATAAACCGCTGTGCATGTGTTATTGCATGTGATAAGCCTCTAAACTTATACCACTTATACCACAAAAGACGATTAAAGTCGAGTCGAGCTGTTGATCTTCTGAAGTTAAAGAAGCTAAAGAAGCTTCAGCACCGAACTCTCACTTTGTACCACGACGTCTCCACTGCAGCTTTCCGAGAACATGTCGCCCATCCCAGCACAGTGGTCATTTCACCCTCGATCCGTGTCACTCAGACCGCTGACGTCTCATCCCGCCTTCAGATGAAATTAGAGGTCATTTTTGCGCCGAACGAGAGCGGGAGATTTCTTCACCGCCGTCCGCTTTTAAAAAGTCTCTGTGTGTTGTGTAAATGTTGCTTTAGCGCAGGGGGATTCTTGCCCTGTCGCACTGACTTTGAGTTGTTATTGTCACTATAAGGGACGATGGCTAAAACTTAATAAATCAAGACCCAGTTGATCTTTGAAGAAGTTTTATACAGAGATGTTCTTCTTCTTCTGTCTTTGAGAATTGGCTCAGTAGATGAGGATGTTGTGATCAGGTATTATTGTAACCCTGTGTGTGATTTCTGTACTGTATATGCTTTCAGAGGCTGATGGGAGTTTCCTCATCTCACTCAGCCCTCTGTGACCCCCCCCTCCCCCTTCCCCCAAACTCATGGTTTTTCTCAGATCCCCTACAATCCACAGACTGACCCCGGGGCCGACCTCTTTTGAGCAACATCTCCAGAGTGTAACTGTCCCTGACAATGAGGCGGGGCACCGGCCCGGCCCGGCCTGGCCTCTCCACTCGGTCCCGGCACTGTGACCAGGAAAAGAGGGCCACCGGCACACACAGAAGGCCTTGTCTGTCTCTGACTCTGTGGTATCACACTCGGTGACCTCCCGCCACCGCCCCTTAACCTCCCCGAAAAAACTGGCCCTGACTCGTTGCGGCCCTCGTCGGCTGAGAATGACAGCTGAGTTGACAGCAGCAATGCGCTTTGAAGTGTCAAGTCAAGTCCCTCCATTGTCTCCGTGAGTAGAGCGCCGAGCCGCTCAAGTGCACAATAGTGCGGCGGTGTGTGTGCGTGTCACCGCTCTACTCGACTGTGTGAGGCTGGCTCGGCGTGTACATTTATACCCGGCCGTGTGGGCAGACGCGGAGGAGCTGAGTTTGCCTTTTCCTTTTAGAGCCTCTGTATATATTATCCTTTTGTCCGGGGGCCGAGCTGTTCTGCATTTCTAATGTGAGAAAAGCCTCAACAAGCCTCTTTCAGGACGATGACAAAACACACCACCCGGTGAAACTGTTTCACCCGCTAATCCTCTGATTCCTAAACCAGGCAGGGTGAAATAGTTTTGTTTTGATGGTTTGAGAGGAGATAAGTAATAAGTGATTAGCGTGACAGTTTTTGCCGTTCCTGTGAGTGAGGTCTGCGGTAATTAGGGCTTAAGGGCAGAGCTTCTTGCTCTGTGTTTATTGAAGGTGAGATGAGACTCCTTTCGCCCCCGAGGTTCCGACTGTAACGCCGTCCTCTTGACAGACTTGAATACCTCACCTGTGTGGCTTCTCTCCTGGAGGTCCCGGGGTTGTTTTGTCCACTTGTCGTAGTGTAAAACCTGGAAAGGCTTTAACTAAGCCCACAGCAACATCCAGCCCAGATTTATAGTCTGATATCAGCGCATCAGACAACGTCCCCCAGGAGCGTTTCCTCTAGCCGCCGGCGTCTGTGCTTTTCTTTGTTTATTTACATCTCATTAGTTCCCGATCCGGACTGCATCCCCGAGCTTTACTGGAACCACAACAAGTGGATAAACTCAAATCTGATGCATTGTTCTTTAGAATATATAATGAGAAGAATCTGACACAGTTATAATGACATTTATTATTATTTATGATACTGACTGTTTTTTTTATTTCGAGTGCACTGTAGAAAATTTATTATATTTTGAAGAATTTTGTGTTTTGTAAAATCTGCCAGTGGAGTAAACAAACAATAACTTGCAAATCAGCCAATTACAAGACAGTACAGGCAACATAGGTCATCTAGTTTTCCCTTCAGCAGTTAACCCTTAAGTGCCCTTCAATAAAAACGCTCTAAAACCTCAGCAGTGTTCACTAAAAGCTTTATTCCTCCGGCTCTGGAGCGTTTGTTTAATCTGTCATTTTAAATTTTAGGAAAAATAGATTCAGTAAATCCAAGTTATTCTGCTTCTGTAGTGTAAGAAAATATAAGATTTAATCATGATTCAGTTGTTTTATTATTATTCATACACTTGTTTGCTGTATCCACTTATTTCCTAACGCAGCAGCCCTCTGTGCCCACGTGGATCATTAAAGTTACATCTAATCCTCATCATCATCATCCAGATTACCATCATAACACAACTACGCCCACTCTGTTGCAGGACGCTGTGGCACGGCAGCGTCACGCTACTCGGAGCTCAGCTGCAGTCGGTCTCATGTGTTTGATGAACTGGAGGCCATCGCCCCTCGGTCTACTTCCTGTCCATCTCAGGACCCTGCGTCAGACTCCTCAGGCTGCCCTTCACCTGATACAGGTACACACACACACACACACACACACATCACCCCAACTTCATTTTAACTAGCTCTTATTATTATCATGAAAAGCTCATTATAATATTCCCATCAGCCTCAGTTGTACTTGGCGTTTAATACTAATTTACAAATTAGCTCCTTTTTTCTTTTGCTTTCTTCTTCTTCTTCTTCTTTTCATTTTAAAAAAATGTCAATAAAATAAAAGAATAAATAAAACACCCATCATAATTTCTTAAGGCCCAAAGTGTTTTTGTCCAACACATGAAAATCTTCCATTAAAAAATGATAAAATGGAGGAAAGAAACTAATTCTTGCATTTTCGAGTCTAAAACTAGAGACTGTTTGGCTTTTTTTTCCTTTATGATTCAGTTTTGTCAATTCATTTCCTGCCCATCTTCTAGTCAGTTTTAGACTCGTTCATCATTAGATTAAAGTTAGATTATTAAGCGTATTTTCTTTTTAAATTTGCAATGAACAGATTAAAGTTTCGACTTTATTTTGGCTCCTTCTTCATTATGTTGTGGCAGAAAGGAAAAGGTCCATAAATACGTGATTGAAAGTCATGACCGCCAACATTGTGTTGCACTTAATGTGTTTATTTGTTGTTTCCATCTCTGCGTGGCTCCATTAATGTCTCAATTAGACGTGCTCTCCTTCCTCTGTGACTCCTGCCTGGTTGCAGACAGGGATGGGCTCGTCTGAGCACTCACTGTGTCAGGTCTTTGTATCAGCCCATGTTGGCCAACAAAGGCTGAGTAAATGTGTTGTGTGTGTGTGTGTGTGTATGCCTGTGTTAGATAGCATGTGTAAATGTGTGTGTGTGTGTGTGTGTGTGTCTTGGAGGTGGTTCAGTGAGCTGCGGAGAGAGACGTTAGCCAATGAAGACTTCCTCCCACCTCCCTCGCAGCCCGCTAATCCCCGACAAGGTGTTTAACCTGCTTGCTTGACCCCAACCTCCGTCTGAACCTGGCGACCTTTGCCCCGAGGATGTGGAAGGATCAGGGCAGCCGCTGCCACAGCAACCGCGGCGTGATAACATCAAGTCAGGGCTCAAACCCAATGCTCTGCCAAACACGAGCTAATGCTCCAGACTGATTTTTATCAGAGACTGACAAAGCGCGATTTACATCTGTATAGAATGAGGCTGATTTAAAGCCACAATGAGCAGGGATTTTATTGAGAAATGCAGATGTCTTATCAGGTTAAATCACACAGTGGCAGAAATGAAGAGGAATATTTCATTGTCTGATGCACGTGGGGGTTTTCCAAACAGCCCTGATATTTTAAATTATTTAATTAAAGCTGCTCATTCGCACTCGCAGAGAAACACTGAGCAGACGACCTGTGTTGTCACTTTTCGGATGTAGGACGCGTCACGTTGTCTTTTTGTGTCTCGAGGGTCATTTCTTCCTCACCAACTGAAACCATGCAGATTTGTTGGACCTAGAAAAGACACTGGGCAGAGCACAAACCTCCTCGAAGGCCAAACAGTTCTGCACAAGTCTGCACCAAATTATACAACCTCACAGATCTCTGTACCGTTATTATGTCTGATTATATTATTGATGAAGATTGTTTGTCGCAGTGTTTAGGAAAGTGATTTCTTGGATCCGCCCCTTTAACAAGGTGGGCACCAGGATTTTAATGGGCTCTTCCCCCGGGGCCATGACACATCCCTCCACCAAGTTCGGTGCAAATCCGTTCCGTACTTTTTATGCAATCCTGCTGCCGGACAAACGAGCAGAATTTACCTCCATGTTGGAGGCAACAAAACCAAAGTAGATCTCACAGACAGTTTGAAAACGACCTGATAATAATCAGACCAGATCCAGATACGGTTGACCCGAACAGAGAACACAGACTTTCTTGACTGTTCTCCGTAAATCCGTCACTGCTTGGTTATTTATTACCCAATTCTGGGTTTTTAATCGGCTCCTTATCAACCTATCAGGCGTCAGAATGAGAAGCTGGTGCTCTTCTGTCTCTCTGACCCTGTGTGGGAGGTAACCAGCGTGTCCAACACCCTAATCACCAGAGTAGTCATTTGTTATCTGCCACCAGTGTTTGCTAAGTGTCTGTCACTCTTGCGGCTACTTTTGGCTAATGACGGACTAATGCTGGGCCTAACTGCATGTGTGTCCCGCCACATTATGTTACAGCCGCAGTTATCCCAGGGATTTCCTCTCAACGACTCCTTCGTCTATCAGCCGAGGCAACAGTTCCTTTTTCTCACCTCAGGGATTATTTTACCAAACATCAGCGCACCTACAGACACCCACAGGAGTCTGACCGGCCAACTGAAAAACCTGCACAGAAGGGTGTGTGTGTGTGTGTGTGTGTGTGTGTGTGTGTGTGACAGCCGCAGTTATCCCAGGGATTTCCTCTCAACGACTCCTTCGTCTATCAGCCGAGGCAACAAAAAAACTTTCTGTGTGTGAAAGCTATTCTAATGTAAAAGGGGATATCGAGGCTTTTCTGCAGCTTTTTGGGATGTTGCTGGGAAAGAGAAGGTGTGTGTGTGTGTGTGTGTGTGTGCGCGCGTGTGCGTGTGTGTGTAGCGGGGGTACCTGCAGCGGAGCGTGTTGTGTGAAATCCCCTCGGAGAGGAATGGCAGCTCCACACCCAGCCAGCGTGGGCCGGGGATTTGCATGGGCACTGAGCCACTGTCACTGATCCGCTTTTAATTGGGTGTGACGATGAGAACTTTGGAGCTCAAGAGAGTGGGGGGGGTGGGGGGTGGGGTATGAGTAGGGGGGGGGGGGTTGGAGGTTGTGTGAATAGAAGGCAGGGAAATTTACAGTCATTTCATAAACCGGTTCAACAAGTCATTGATTACAACCTTGAGTGATTATTTTCAAAGGTCAACAGTTGTAAAATCTGTAAAAACACGTTTTTATATACGTGGGCTTTGATTATGTAGCAGATATTTTACAGTGTGTATATACGTAAATATTGTGAAGATATTTTGACGGTTGTTTCATTGACTCAATTCTCTGAGGTGTGTATTTAAACTGCACACACAGTGTTTCCCATTCACCTCTTCGGCTGTGTTAGCAGCTAAGGGTTAGCAGTGTCAGTCCAGACTGAAATATCTCCACAACTTTTAAGCTGAATTGCCATGAGTCTTTTTTTATTTACAGACCGGCATGGTCCCAGGAGGATGAATCCTGATTCCTTTGACTTTTCCTGCAGCGCCACCAGCAGGTTGACATTTGCAGTTTTCAGTGAAATATCTCAACAACTGTTTGATGGATAGCCATGAAATTTTCTATCTCAACAAAGCATGCTAACATGCTAAAATAAGATTGTGGACATGGTAAACATTATACGTGCTAAACATCGGCATGTTAGCATGTTTACCGCTCTGCTAGCGCGGCTGTAGCCTCTTAGACGTGTCGCTTCAGTATATTGACTTGTGTCTTAATACATCTTATTAAACCAACGGCTGCAACAACCGCTCAGGAAAGGAGTCAGCTCACAGACGTCTGATGCAGTTGCACCTTCAGTAACTGATGAAATAATTACATAAAACGAGAAATTTTTCCTTGTGCATTTTCTAGTTAATATATTCCAGGACTGAAGTTGCCTTATGTCTGAATGTCGACATTTATGCAAGTGCAGTGACTCTAAAGGGTCATTTAGTCTCATATTAAAATTATTTTCCAACAGAATTATGATAATTCATCTGGTTTATATTTCTAATGAATCTTTTAAAAAGTAGAATGATCTCACTCACATTTGTTTTGTTTAAGATCTTTCATACTCTTTGCCCGTCTGTCTGAATATAAGATGCAATAACTGGTTTGTGTGTTTACTCTTTGCAGCTGCAGGACAGACCCATCAGTGTCTGTTTCCTTTTATGTATGACTCGTCTATGCAAAAGCAAACCTGTCGGGCACAACTCAGAATATGTGTTTTGTGCTGCAGCGCTGCAGGATATTTGTCTAGTATTTCAGACTTTGTTGCCTCCCCCTGCAGAGCTGTCTCCTGGCCTGGCAGCGCTGACGGTGGGCTGTGACTCAGGGAATCTGGGCTCCCTGTCCCGGGTCCAGCTGCTCCTCTTGGACCGACCGGAGCCTGAGACCCTGGAGAGTCCCTGCGATCCGGAGGAGGAGCTCTCCTCAGAGCAGGACTGGATCAACCTGAGGATGCAGTACGACCCAGGACTGACCTCAGAAGGTAAAGCTCTTCGCGACAGAGATTCAATGGTTAAATTCCACATTTAACAATCAAATCAATAAAAAAATAAAGTTCTCCAAGCAGAACAAATATCCGACTCTCAAAGTTAAAGCTCTTAAACCTTATGGGAGATGGTGACGTCCATGGGAATTTGTGGGGAAGCAACATAAACTCAGGCTAATTCCTGGATTAAATATAATCCTGCAAAAACACCCAGATACACTTTAGACAAGTGTCTTGTTAATACCAGCTGGAAAAGGAGCCAAAAGAGGAAGTTCACACTGAAAAGACAAACTCTGAGGCAGCATTAAGTTTCTTTAGCAACTATTGAAATTATTTATTCAGTTGAGTGTCTGTGATTAATTTGATCACTTGCGATAGTTTGTGAGTGAAAATGTAATGTCTGAACGTCCCACTCTGACAGTTTGAGTGAGATCGTTTGATAAGCAAAAACCGTCACTTTAATAACAGGGAGCAGTCAGACAGGTGTGTCTGTGTGTGTGTGTGTGTGTGTGTGTGTGTGTGTGTGTGTGTGTGTGTGTGTGTGTGTGTGGAGAAAACACATGAGCCAGACGGGGGGAAAAACAAGACTCTGGAGGTGTGTTTTCTCAGTCCGTGGCTCGGCCTTGAGAGTAAGCGATGCCTTTATGGTGGCGAGCAGCTTGTCTTTTAACGAGCTGTGATACCGCCTCTCATCTGCTCCCTGGCGTGCCGTGGCGAGCTCTTAACTGCTTTTCTTCAGAGGTGTGGCAATCGAGAGGAAAGGTTTATAGGGATATCAGGATGTGCCATATTAATAAAGATCAAACCGCTGGAGTGGATTATTAACTGGGAAAGTCCGACTAAGACAGCCGGAGACACTTAGAACCCGAGCTTTGCATACATGACAATGGATAAGAAGCTGAGCCGAGTGTGTCGTTTAGAGTCTGATAACAACAGGGAGAGGGAGATAAACACAGTAGATGTTTAAAGGCTCAGTTCACCCACATTAAAAAGAAACATCTCACACGTAGAGAGTTTTCCATCCCTGTGAAATTTCATTTTTGGTGTTTACAACATGGACAAAACGACAGCGACGTGGTGCGGTCACGCCATCAACAACCTCAGCGAATATTCACTCTGACGCTCATTCGCTTCGACTGAACTGACACTTTCAGGAATAGATTTGCTGTTTCCTACAGTCACAGTTCACCTTTGTCCAGTGCTCACCTGCAGGGTCCATGTGCTGCGTGTGCGGGAATGGAGAAGTCATTATATCAGCAATCTGCCATAGTCCTGTTTACAGTATTAGACCTCAAGACTAACTGAGTCACTAAGATGTTAAGTTACAGTTATATCCTTCATATCAATGCACCAAAGTATCAATAATGTAGATTTTACTGCATAAAAGTATTTTAAAAACTGGATATTAATGTAGCAAAGTATCAATAACCTGGATATTAAAGCGTATTGAGTGTGAAATATGGGAATTGACCGCAGTAAAAGGGCCGTTGAATATTTTAATGTAAATATTCACCTTCACTGTGACAGAAGCAGAAATCTGAAAACCCGTAAAAATAAAACCAAAACTCCGCACCAGGTTACAGATCGCTTTCTGTAACTCAGACCAACTCTTCACCAGCAAAGAAGAGAACAGGTCACAGAGGCTGCTGCTGTTATTTGTATTCATGCATCTGTGCCACTGCTGTTTACAACAAGAGAAAATCTGAAGTCTTTTCTCTCTCTGTCTCTCTCTCTCTCTCTCTCTCTCTCTCTCTCTCTCTCTCTCTCTCTGTGTGTGTCTGCAGAACAAAGTTTGCACCTGGCACGCTGCTGTAGACAGGTGCTCCTCTGGGGTTTTGTTGCTCCATTTTTTGCCTTTATTTGCTCAGAGATTAAGAGCCATAATTGGAACTAATACACTACATTACTCATATCTGTGCACACACACTCAAACACAAAAGACACGTGTGCATGTAAGTGTGCGCCGGGGGGCTAACATTTATATACACCCGTGCACGGACGCACACGGGCCGCTGCCGCCCGCCCGCCTGCGCCACAACTGCACACACACAATTGCCTCCTCTCCCTTTAAGCTTGACGCTGTGTCCTGTGTGGTTTTGTCAGGTGTTGTGAGGCCCCTCACAGCTGGCAGCGTCTCTGAAAGGTGTGACTCCGCAGGGAAAGTCCGGGAAAACAAATCGGTGAGTGCCGCTGCCCCCTTTTGCTTTTCACTCTCTACCCCCCTCCTCCGTTCATCTATCAGATTTCCTCCAAAAGCAGCGCTGCGGCTTGTCGTGAGCAAACACTAAATCTTCCAGAATCAACTCCTATCAGACAATGACCCCAAACCTGGTACACACAGTCTCCCTCCCACACAAAGACCCCCTTTTATAAACTTGAACTGGCATGCATTTATAACTGTCATTCCAGTAAAACGAGCTAAATTGTTGTTGATAATTGAGACACAATATAACAGAGGGCACGCGGCGTGCAGCAGGTGTGTGGTTAATCAGTCACGGGCTGCAGGAGGGCGGGGGGGGGGTTGACTGTACGGGAACAGGCAGCCTTTTACACCAACTCATTGCTCTTGTCGCAGGGGGGTACACTCGGCTAAACGCCCGACACGGTGGGATTCTTTTGGAGGATGCACCACCACCGGGATCAGACAGGGGTTGCGGGGTGAGGGGTCAGGGGGGTAAACAGGGCTTGTGCATGCTGGGCTGCAGTGGAATGGACGCAGGTGCTCCACGTGATCTACGATTAATCTCCCCTTTATGACGGATGAGAGAGAGAGCCCCTGAAAAGCATGAATGAGACTCATAAGCCCCCCACAATTATGCCCAACCACAATGAGGAGCTGGAGTGGTCCGAGCAGGATTCATACCACCATTTGCATAACACACCTCGCTGGAGCAAGTATTCACACACTGGATTATTTATAATGGAGAGAGGCTGATAAACCAGTGGTATGTTTGGAGTCGTAAAGTGGGAGGAGCTGCTGGTATTTGAAGACTTTTCGTTGAGTCGATATGTTCCTCAACGTGGAAAACATGGAGAGTCTCTACAGGTTTATGTTCAGTTGTAATTATTTCACCTTCAGCTAAAGTTCCTGCGGTGAATGGCTTTAAGTAATTAAAGTACCTTAATTATACATTTCCGTCAGAAAATGTAAATTTCTACATTATTTGAAGGCGTCAGCGTTTCCATAGCCGTGGAGTCTGTGTGACTTCTGTCGCTGTTATCTGATTCAACGAAAACTGAACACTTTCTGCTCCGTTTCAAATTCAAAGCTTCTTACCATCAAACCACAGGGAGTGGCCAACTGCTTACTCCACATTCAATAAAATCTGAGCCGCATCCAGATCTGGATCTTTTTTTTCTTTTTTTCTTTTTAGGAGTGGTTTTGTCATCAGACCAGTTTGGGTCGTTGACTTTTGAACTGGAAGCAGCAGAAAGTTCCTGAATTTTGGGAAAACAGTTGCATCACAGAATCCGAGCACGGCTCCTCAGGGCATGTTGCAGGTGTCAAACGTGATGACTTTTTGTTGTTTTAATCGGAGAACCAGATATCTGTAGATGAGGTAGTTGCTGAGAATTAGACCGGGAGACTTTATTTAATTTGCTAATTTAAAGCAGGAATTGGTTTGATTGACTTGTGGTTGAACTGTTTCTGTCTTCTTCCCCGCAGCATCAGTCTGACGGAGGCTCCGGCTCACCATCTTCATGGATCATAGACCAGAGTCCATCGTACGACATGTTCAGATCCTCGTATTCTCCCTGCCCGTCCAATCACAGTACTGTATCCCTTACATCTATGCAGAAAATATTCATACTACATGATCTGTGTGTGCTGCTATGACATACCACGTCTCTGTTGAAAACTGGCTCTCATTTTTAAGGGCCTATAACGACAATACTTAATCAATACGAGAGCCTGTCTTCGCGCGAGCGCCTGATCCGGTAAAAGCCCATTCAGTCCCTGTCAGCTCTGGTTTATTAGGAGCCATTGTCTCCTCACTGTCAGCGCCGTGTTTGGCGTTCCCTTGCCTCCGGTACACTTAAGCCCGCTAATCCTCCGCTAGGGCCAGCTGGTTCGCAGTATCACCTTCACCTGTGTGGCCGGCTTGTGTACATTCATGAGTGATGGGTTCAGAGGCAGCGCTTACTGTACAGACCACAAACACTGGAAAAGCTGGCAACACAAGGCAGGAAGAAAGGTCAGAAGTACTGTCACCACGTGGAAACGGAGAGCCACCCTCGAGCTAATAGATGACTCTTTTTCCTCCCACCTCCATTCGACCACGTCTGTCAGGCTGTGATCATGTTCTGCTTCTTTCCCCTCTGGGTGACTCACTTGTCCGGTATCAGTCATTGTGCTATAGCACTAATGGTCCGTGGCTCGCCGTGTTCCTGGAGGATGTTACAAAGGCATCCATCATACGAGAGATTGATAAGAGGGCCGAGCTGCAGCTAACCGTTTAGACCGAAGGATATCAGTGATATGTCTCTGTAATCCTCCGTGTCTGATGTCGGGCTGCTGAGCTTAATTATTCACTAAGTGTTTGTGGTGTTTTTTGGTGAAATACATGCAGGTGGAGTGGAGGAGGGTGGAACTATAAATCAGGCTGTGCTGTGACCATCTATCTTTGAAAAGTTTTGACAGCAGTTTTCACAAAACTTGCAGTGGTAATGATCCTGTTGGGATTGTCCTTATATATTTTTTAATTGTTTTATATCCTAAAACAGAAGAAAAGAAACATGAGTCAATGAGTCAATGACAAAACATAGATACATACTTATGCATCCACTCTACTACATAATATCCACTCTCAAAGGAGTTCACAGCATCTACAGGCGAATACCAAGAACACAAATCAATACCATATACACTATATTTGTACCATGTGTACATATAATATGTATCTACGAATATGAAAATACAGCTCAATACAAAGCAGCAACATAAATTAAACAGGAAAGTGTGAAAGAAAACAGTAATTCAACAAAACTAATACTTCTAGTTGACCCTTGCCCCCAACCCTGTATCACTACCCTCACCCTCCCTGCCCCATACCCCCATAACCCCACCCTAGAAGGTTACATGTATGATCTTAGGTGCTGAAAGGAAGCACCAACACACACCAAAATGAGTTATGTCACGGGGGGTGCCATTCAGCCAGTGTAATAATATCTTCTGTAGTTCTGAAGGAACTTTCCAAAACATAAATAACTCAAGAGATGTCATCAGAGTTATCTCAGCTTTGGCTTGAGAGCGACAGATTTAGATAAATGTGGTACAAAATGTTTGAAATATGTGGGCAGTTACCCGTCAGGGACACCCGGGGATATTACCAGTTCAATGATCAATATATCATTAAAATATCCAACGTTTTTATCTACGAAATAAAAAAGGGGGACAGTCCTGATTTTATGTATTGTGGAACCATGGTAACTGTAAAACGACGATTACCTTTGAAGCAGTCACAAAGACCAATTGACTATTTTATTCCTCAATTATTTATATTCCTTTAGTTCGTAAGTGTCCACAGATCAAAAGAACCAAAATCATTTTTCATAAAAGTATTCCAGGATATAAATATTGTCGTGTGAAGTCCATTAGAGTCAGACAACTTCTTCTTCAGACATAACTTGGGGGACTTTGGGCATGTTTTGTTTTAGTTTAGCCTCATTTGTGAAGCTGCTGTAGCTAGCTCTGTTGGCCGAAACAAACGCAGCAGTAGACGTCTGTTTTTAAGTCACAGTTAAAAACAGGGACTTTTACGGGGACAGCTCCAGCCGGGGACAGGCCACTAAAAACGGGGATATCTGGTCACCTTACTCTCTGTGTTTAACTGGATTCTTTCCAAATTGTTGACTCTCCTGTGCAACATGATACTTGATTGTCAGGGAGGAGCGACCACACCCGAGTCGTCACTGTGAATGGGTTTTATACGATTTAAGTGCCCTTTTTTCTTTCTTTTTTTTACAGAATGATTGATTTATTAGCTTGTTAAATGTAAACAATGTACCTCCATTGTCACAACAGACAATGAGTAAAATTCCCTCTAGCTTTAAAATGCAAAAATGCATTTTTTTTTTAGCTTGTTACATTTTAAAACAACAACTTTCTCTGTTTAACTACCTTATAAGAATTAGACAAACATGAAAAAAAAGATGTCACCTAGAGGATTTGGGTGATGGCTTGTGCGCTTTGACCTTTTAGAGGCCAAAGGCATGGTCACCCTCTGGGGGGAGGGGGTCATCAGCAGGGCGTGGAGAGGTCACGCCTGAGGTCACGCAGTCTCTAAAAGATGCCCAGTGTGTGGCATGTCTTTGTGTGGATAGGTGAGATTTGGTTCCCCTGGAGGTGCAAGCAGTTCAACCATTCAACAGGGCCCCTAAGTAATGGAGGGAATGACCTCATTTTGACTCAGTGCATCTGAGACAGTTGAGAAAATGGGCTTGTGGCACCATTTGCATGATGGGTAGTTGATCTGTTAACATGAGCTCGCTGAGTTAGGGAAGACGGGTTGAAAATATATTTTTCTATTGAAGTGGTGAGGTAAAGATGATGCCCGAGGTAAAAGGGACAGGTGCATGCCAGAAAGTTACTTTAATATAGTTCGGCAGTTTGCATCAAAAATTACAGTCAAATCTGAACATAGTTATATTTTTATTATTCGTTGTGACTGACACTTTCTGAAGATTTAACTGTCTCCAATTATGTTGCATGTCTACTTCCGACTCCAGAAGTTGCTTGAGAATCATCATGTTTTTAAGTTTTCTTCAGTATCAAAGCAATCCAATAACAGTTCTCTGTATATTGATGAGTACCATTGCAAAAAGGAACTACGAATAGTTGATTCGATATATTTTTAATGGTCCAATTTCCCAAAATGGAAACAGTGTAATTCAATGACTCACTGGCAACATTTTACTTCCTGTATTCAGCGACCTGAGGGGTGGCATAAAGCTGGGGATCCCAGAGACGTACCCTGACGTTAGTATACCTCAGTATCAGTCCAGCTCTGACAATACTGTATGCTGCATTTCCCATAATGCAACTGAATATCATCTTTCCCCAGGAAGGGGTTAGCTTTCAAACTTTGAAGCTAGTGAACCGACACTCATTTGTAAACGCAGTGGAATGCCCCTCAGTTAATCTGATGAATATTCATGTTTTCCATTCAGTGATAATCAATTTTTTCTGACGCCTGTTCCACATCAATGAATCATCCACCTCTTTGGATCAATTGAAAATGGCCGTGTGATTCTGTGATTAAGCCGAAGCCATAAATCGGCCTCGATAAGATGCTGCTGCTGCGGCTCCCCAGAGAAGCTCATGATAAGACCTTTGTCCGTTTGCGCTCATCAGGAATTCATAGGTAGAGTAATCCCTCCCCTCATAATTGTTTCATGACTGTTTTCCCCCGCTGCCCCGGTCACTCAGCGTTCACCCCGGTGTTTAGCATTCAGCTGCTACTGAAGATGTTAGCGTCCAAATGAATGTGGCGACGAGCGGGGGCCACAAAGAGCACTAATCTGAACTGACCCTGGTGGATTGTTCCGGGAAAAGCTGAGGAAACTACGGCACAGATTAGGCCTCCAGAAAGACAGAGATGGCGCAAGCAGAGATTAGTCGTGTACTAAGCAAGGATCGTTTCCCCCCAGAGGACCACACACTGACAGTGTAGCCATGTCACCATTGTCTCTAAGCCACTGCCACTGTGGACTCGTTGGCTATTGTCTCCGAAATCCTCCAGCGTTTCCCCAAAAAACCTGGACTCAAGCCCTTTGATTGGCACTTGTCAGAGCTGATAGAGAGGGTGACGTGTTGGGAAAGGCTTCGGTAAAGGAGGCCTGAAAAGGAAAATCCCCTCCCCATGAATAATAATTTGGCGAGGATTTTCCTTTTTACTCCGCCCCGCTCCTATTCTGCCATTCTTTCAGCAGATAGAGGAGTGAAGGCTCTGGGTGGCATCAGTGAATAGACCTCGGCACGCTAATTGTCTCGCTGATGCTCATCCCTTTCTCAAACATGCAAAGAAAGAGATACAAGTCCAACCTTCTTGCCTCTGCCTGGTGCGCTGGATGTCGGACCATGCTGCAGGGAGGGGGGGGGGGGGTAAAGGGCACAGGCAGTGTGAGTTGTGGGTGGTGAATACGTGTGTGTGTGTGTGTGTGTGTGTGTTTATTGTCTTGGATGGCCTTTTCGAGATCAGCGAGGGGATTTGACTTGGCCGCTCGCAGCCAAATCCAGCTATCTGCTGTGTTCAGATGCTGCGGTTGGTATGGTAACCTGCTCTGTGTGTTTTTAGATGGGCTCTTGTTTCCAGCTTGAACTGACCAGTAATCACTGTGCATTCATGGATTAGGCCGTGTTGGAGGTTAGGATAGGAGGGTTTCAAAAGGAGGAAACCAAATCCTGAATAATTTTAGTCGGAGGTCAACCCTGCTTTAAAGATTGTACATTATATAAACAGTCTGGACTTACAGATTTAAACTGCTGCTCAAATAATTGGCTGATTAACTGATTCGTCAGTCAGTATTTTACTATTAACATTTTATTTGATACTTTTATGTGATTTATCATTAGTTTAGCTGCTTGAATGTGAAGATTTTACATCTTTTTATTCTGTTTTATACGATTGTAAATTAAATATCTTTGGGGTTTTAGAGTGATGATTCGACAAATGAGGCAACATCGCGCCGGTACAGTGGCGCTGACAGCTGAGCACACAGCTAAACTTAAGAAAATGCAAATAGACAAAACACAAAGCAAACGAAGGAAAACGAAGAAATGCACAACAAATATCGACATTACAAGCAAATACAGAGATGCTGCGATCTGCACAAAATTACATGTTGACTTAGCATGATGCAGCTACCTGGAGTTAGCTTGTTCAACGTCAGGTGCTTGAATAAAAAACGACAGAACTGATAAACAGACTGAAATCCTCATAGATTACTCAGATTATATTCCACGGAGCAGAACAGTGTGCACGTTTATATTTTTCTGGAGTATAGCAGATGTTTGCAGTAATCTGACATCAGAACGTTAAACCTGGAATAAAACAGCACATTTGTTGTCAGTGTTTATGATCTCTCAGGGACACCTGCATTAGTCTGTGATGATGAGCATTTTTCACCAAGTAATCAAGTAATTGTAAAATCAGATAACAGAATAATCTCTAATTAAAAGAAGTTTTGACATTACACGTGATGCATTTGAATGAAAAGTTTTCGAAGTAATATTCACACGTGACATTTATTCATTTATTACGACGTCACTGTCGATATCCCCGACATTAGGTTTGTGTTTCCTCTGGGAAAAAAAAACAGAAGAAATGATGAATCTGTTCCCCAAAGATGAACACATTTCTCCTCCTGTCGTCCGCTGCGGTGACATTGAGACTCGAGCGGGACGAGGCGGCCGACGGCAGCGCGTGATTGTGTGCAGCGTGGTGGAAGAGACGGCCCGTCCAATGAGACGTGGCTCCATCAATCTGCGGCGCTGACCTCTGCACGCTCACTGACAGGATAAATGAATCCACGCCTGCGTGTTTTTGGAAGGCTGCCTGTCAGCTCCTCCACCGGTCAAGCTTTCTCTTCCTTAATGAATGCAGCCATCTCCAAATGTATCACGTTTGAATTATCGCTCATGCGCCAACACAAGTAACACTCGTGTTTTTAAAGTAGGACGAAGAAAAGGGTCCGAAACTCTAGTGGAAACTGCTGTAAGAGACAATCCCAGCCTTCCTTAAGCTCAAGTCTGCATTGATGGAGCTCTTTGTCTCGGTGCTGCTACACCAAGAAGTGTATTCTGTGGACTTTGTATTCAGAGATAATGGGACTCTTAATTGGCTGGTCGGTGACAAAATGGATGGCTGTTTAAGTTTCAGGGAGAGCGTCCGTTCCTTAGTGAGACTCTGAAAGGGCTGAAGGGAGATGTGACTGTGGCATTTAGGAGAACAATGTGATGAGAATTGGTGTTTATTAAAGGACCAGAAATGGGTTTTTAGAGCTTTTTACTAAGTGGCTACTTCCACGTCGACGACCATGAATGCAGATGTGGTTTTTTCTTGTTCAGGACTGTGTGTTTACATTGGAAAAGTTAGTCCCTGTACTAAGGGATAAATACGTTTCAGACAGAGTAACAGACACCACCATATGCAAGACTTCCTGCGATTTTTAATGTATTTCTTGTTGCGTTTTCTCTGCTCCAGGTTCCAGCACAGATGAAGGGGGCCCCACCGAGGAGGAGCCCAATTATCCAGGACAGAGGGGCCAAGTTGAGTCCTGGCACGGAGGGAGGAGCCCCGAGAGTCTCGAAAGGAGGATGGACGAGAAGAAAACTAAGGTGCTGAACATGCTTTCCAAACTGCAGGACGACACGCCTCGCAAGAACAGCAGCAGCAAAGGCTGCTCCAATTTTGAAGACTGTGAGTTTTGTTATGAAATGGAAATGGGATTGTTGTGTAGTTTAAAATCATCTTTAAACCCGGGTTCTTGCTGTTAGTTTTTATTATGAAGTTTGCGTAGCAGGAACAACCGTGGAAAACAAGTTTCATCAAAACAGTAAAAGAAAGGCGTGCATGATTTTACTGGTAAAACAACTGCTCTGAAGTGCAAAGGAAATTTCATATGAAAAAGAAAACTAGTAACTTTTTATAACTGACAACTCAAGGAATAATCAAGCAGGACAATATATGGACCATCAGCTAATAAATAATGAAGTAAGACATAATTAAACACAGTGTAGAAAACTTAGAGCCACCCAGAGTCAGATTTCCATGAGAAAAGAATTTAACCTCAAAAGAAATAAAATAATTAAAATGAATGGGGGGGGGGCAACACCTGCAAACGCCATATCACGTGATCATCTCAGAGGACAACATGATCGTCAGCGTGACGGATTGTGCTGGGATGAGCTAACTGGTCTTCCTGGATGTTATTTCATTATTTCACCTGTTTCACTTGAAGCAACAACCCCCCCCCACCCCCCCACCCCCCTTCAGGACTTTATTAGCTCTGCAGTGTGGAGAGTTTTGGTCAGAGTTGCTCATTAAGATGAATAAATATTAGGAAACAAGGCCCTGGTTGAAACTGCCAGCTCTCTTCTTTGCATCGTTTTCACATAATAGACCATGTGGGAAAAACACAAACACCCTGACACATTTACCAGACCCTCCTCTCGACTCGGGGAAAAAAAAAAAAAAAAATTCCCCTCAATTACAGCACTTGATTTTTAGAATGGCTTTTTTTTTTCCCCCCCAAACAGGAGTTTAGCCAGGAGTTCTCCAGTTTCCCTCAAGTGCCTAGTTTCTGGCATCCCAGCCTTTGTGAGAGCGGTGGGGCCGGCGGGTCCCACAATAAGCATCCACACCTAGGGTCAAGGTTGAGGGGCCGGCCCGGCGCAGAGGTCGGTCAGGTCAGAGTTCTCCTGTGAGTGCTGGCACACATGAATGGGACTGATTGGACAGGTTTGTTCAGACGGTAATCAAGCAGGATAAAGAACGCTGCAGCTGGCCTCTCGATTCTGCAGCAAGGTTATTGCTGATGGACAGGAGTACGGACTGTAGTGTGTGTGTGTGTGTGTGTGTGTGTGTGTGTGTGTGTGTGTGTGTGTCCTTGTACTTTTATTCTTGTGAAAATAAGGTTGAGTTTTTATGTCGACACTGTGACGTCTTGTCAGCTGCTCTTTGCTTCTTTAATATTTTTACAGCGACAGTTCAAATGACGGAGGTGTGAGAAACGGAGCTTGTGGTCATGAACTTAGAGAATTATCACACAAATCTGCAGCTCCCCGCGGCGTTACAGAGGTTTTATCAGCTCATGGTTTATCTGTGCAGCCACAACTGTAACGCCCCTCCCCGCTGCAGCAGGCAGCTATTTTTAAGCTGAAATGCTCGGACAGCCAACGGTGCTCTGCCTGCTCAGCATCAAACAGACAGTGAGAGACTAGCTGGTGAACGTAGCAGCTAAAGATCCAGATGTTTGAGCTGGCGGAGCGAGCTAAGAGAAAGTTGCTCCTTAACTGCTGGATTTGTAAATACGTTTCCGTTTGCAGAAAAAGTTCATAATATGTCAGTGTTTAGACTGAGACTATGAAACTTCCTCTGACAAATCAAAAGCTGAATTTGTGGCTAATGTTTGGAAAAATGTTCTTGCAGTATGATGTCAGATTGCTGACTTCATGACGCCTCTCCGCTTGTTCTATTGTTGTCACGTGTCTACACAGCGGCCATTGTTCAGCAAACAAGCAATTATATAGGCTCACGATGGAGTTCACAGTTAGAATTAGGTTTGTGCCGTTTACAGTAAACAAGCTCCTCTGGTGGTGAGCACGGCTCCGGAGATGTTTCCAGAGGCAGAGAATGAGCCAGAATCCATTTGAATTAAGAAAATTAAACAATAGATGTTGATGAATAATTTATAATTGACTTTCACTTATATTTATCTATATATTATCTCATTTTGTCTTCCATATCTGATCACTTTCCATGTATTGATATCATATGTAGAGCTTTGCAGTTCGGGTTAACGAGGAAAAGTTTTGGTTGAATTTAGGTTTAAAGGATTGGAAATGAATCCGTTGACGACACTAGCGGTAAAACGATGTGTGGTGTGTCTGAGGTCAGAGCTTGTGTTTGTGGTCGTGGTGTGTTTACAGAGCGTGTCCTGGTACAATCTGAGTGTTCGCCAGGGGTCCTTTTGTTTAGTCGTGTGTGAGTCCTCGCACATACACACAAATGTTTGTATCTGTGTGTGTGTGTGTGTGCGCTCGCTACCTCTCCTCCAGACACTTGTGACTGTGGCTCCTCATTAGGCTCTGAAAAGGACTAACTGGTCATAATTGTCTGTGTTCGGGCCGACACTGACCACTTGCCAAAGGATTCCCAAAACAGAGAGACTTTTTTTATTCCCTCTCATTTCCTGTTTGTTTGTCAACCACATGCTGATGACATTTCCTGAAACATCATCTTAAAAAATTAATCCAAGCAATAATATTCAAAAATCTAATATATAGTGGCTCTAGGGGCTTAGTTCAACATCGTTGTTTATATCTGTAATTACATTTTTTCAAATTTTCATATTTTATTGAGATGATTTCCATATTGAAGGAATTGAAAAGTTATTGTATTTGGCTAAATGGGAGGAGCATGAATATTAAAGGTCCCATATAGTCCAAAGGTAGATGTCCATGTGTAGTGTGATTATAGATCAGCTCTAGCTTCTATATTAATACTGTGAAAGTATCAAAGCCTCAGTCCACAGAGAAATGCACACAGCCTGTATTCAGAAACTGAGCCTTAAAACCAGCTGTCAGGACTTCCTGTAACTTTGTGATGTCACAACAAAGCAGTCACCGTCCTCAGCAATGCCCCAAGCCCCGCCCACCTGGACCCACCATCCAAACCTTGCAGGATTTAGTTTCTCTTCTTTACCTGAAATCTGCTGTATCTTTATTTGATCTCAGCGAAAACAGTCAGCCAATCAGAAGAGAGATTCAGAGCCTCCTCTCTTCTGATTGGCTCACTGACCTGTTGTTACTAGAGCTCCAGAGAGAAGCCTGAGAGAGGAGATGTAAAACTACACTGAGATGGTTTTTGGTTCTTAAAACCACAAATACATCTTCTTATAGATCAACACTTCAAAATAAAAGACAGGAAAAGTGTAAATATAGGACCTTTAAGTTAATATCTTTAACAACCTGATATAAAGATAATATAATTATGTAATTACTATTGTTAATTTGGCCCATATCGTCTCCCTCTGTGTGTGGATTTTATGTATGTTCTGGACTCGATTAGCTCCATTAATTTCTGCCTGTGACGCCCAGCGGGGACTGAACAGACTGTAAGTGCGTGGAGAGCAGGGTGACACTGATGTCAAGTAGCTGCCGTCTCCTTTGTGTCGCCATAGAGCAGCAGCTTAGCGCCTGTTAACCAGCGGCTGAGCGTGGTGTCGGGGGCTCTGCGGGCCGAGGTCTCTGACGAATGTCGGTGTTGATGTGGAACACCTGCCGGCCTTGAAGCCGGCCTCTCTTTGACCCCGCCCACCTACACAAGGGCACCCTACATTACTGTCTGCTACCTGTGGGTGGAGGGGAAGCCTGATTGTTTAAAAGAAAAGAAAAGAAAAAAGGTCTCCTAAATAAACAAGAAAGACCAGTTGCTTCAAAGAGAGATGGAGGGAGCTTAAAGCGAGAGTGTGAGGTGTTTATGAATATGTGTGTGTGTGTTTGTGTGTGTGTGTAGGAGGATGTCCGTTGTGTGCGTTCGGGTACAGTGCCTTTATGTAAACCCTGTTTGCTCAGCCTCTGCTCTGGAATACCTCTATGTATTTTTCATCAGTCCAGAATGACTGGGCAAACAAACAGCCCGCCTATTGATGAGCGGCGGCGTGGAATATGCCTCGCTGTATTCACGAGAGAGAGAGAGAGAGAGAGAAAAGGAAGGGGTAGAGGGAGAGAGAGCAAAGTAAATCTGTCAAAGAGTCTATTATACGGTGTCCAAACAGAGAGCGCTCCTCCACAATGGCCTTATTAATGGCACAATGTCAAGGAGCGGCACGGCAATAATAGCGGATGATTTTGCTTTGTGAGGTTATCTCTAGATCTGGTGTTTCGGTACAGCAGATGATTTGGATGCATATCAGTGAGGATCTGCAGCAGGAGCTGATTGGGTGTACGTGTGTGTGTGTGTGTGTGTGTGGAAAGTGTAAGTTGTGGTTTGTGGTGAGGCCGGTGGCGTGCAGCCAGAGACAGGAGTGTGGCCGCTACGTGTGTCTTTGTTTGTTTTCCTACCAAAGCTTTAACCCACACACAGACACACACACACACACACACACAAGTGAGGGGGAGGAGTTGTGTTTTCATGGAGCGAACAACAGCGCCTGCAGGAGAATGCGTCCAAATTGTGTCACCCTCTTTCACGTTGTATTGCCCACTCAAGAGAAAAGCAGCACGTGTTGCCAAAATCGACAGTGAAAAGATTTTTAAAAGTTTTATCCGGCAGCTGCAACACTCTGAATATCTGAATATAACTGATTTATCGGAGCTCCTTTCTGATCCTCTACCTCTGACGTTAAGTCTGGTTAAGATGAAACCACTTCGTTGAGGTTAGGGAAAGATCGTAGTCATGGTAGAGAGAAACCAGTAACTACTGACCCGAGAAACCGCAGTTTCCGGTGTAAAAGCTTCGTACCTTCTTGCTTCTGAGAGAAGGCGGCCATTATTCACATGTCTGCGAACATTGTAAGTGTTTGCACAAAGGAACAATCCTCTTACAAGAAGCTGCGTTTCCTGGAAATCTCACCGTACAATTATATTTAATGGATAGAAAATAAATGAACATCTCAGACAACAGGTGTCCGTTTAATGAAAAACCATCCCTCTGTCCCGTGTTGCCAAATTCTGTTCTGAAAAGACTATTTTTAC